TTTTTTTGTCAAGTTCACTAGCGCCACCTACGCGCATTTTTGTCGAAGCTTGTCTTAGTGAAACCTAACTTTTTGTTCAATTACATTTTCGGAAAATCGAAAATTGTGTTTTCTGTGACGTCGGTACAAAAAAAGCTCAAAAAAAGTTTTGTGCATAATGTGAAAAACCATTAATAAAAGATAAAAAACAAATTGAATCGTCAAGGCAAGTATGCAGAAAATTTGTGGGACTCATGGTTGAAAGGAAAACAAAGTAAAAAATCGAATCCCGAAACGTATTTCTTTATGGTTACAACAATTCGGTAATGTTACTTACTGTCAAGGTCGGCCACTATGTGTTTAAAATGCGCAAAGTTGAGGACGAGCTACTTCATTTGCAAAAACTGCAATTCTGTATAACTCATAATATAATTGATCATCTTATTAATATTTTTATTTAATTTTATTAATATTTTAGTGCAAAACTTTTTTTTATTTATATTTATTTTTTTATATTGTTTATTGTTATTATTTTGTTATTTCATTAAGTTACAAACTGTAAACAATAAAGAATCAATTTTCCGTAACTCCAAACATGTTATTTTATTTTTTAACGATTAATGCCCTTTGAATTTTAAAAATGGCCGACCTTGACTGTAATGGCCAACCTGGACTACAAATTTTTTTTTTTTTAAATCTTTATAACTTTTTCATTTTTAAACCTGTCAATTTACTTTGTACAGAAAAAATGTTCCTATTAAACAGGACTTTCCAACCATATACTTCAATTGTCCAAATTCATTTTTAAAAAAAAGTTATAAACAAAAGTCAAAAAGGTGGCCGACCTAGACTATGTTCCCCTACTCTAATTATACAAAAACAGCACGGGCACCTAAATAATTGCTATCCTCCTGAATAGTAAAACAGCAGCGTTACTTTCCTAATAAATAAATACAGATTCTTTTTTTTTATTGCAATTCTTATCTATATTTTAAATTACTTTTGCATGTTTGAGTATGTATCAAGTTACCTCTGTATTCCATTATCATACATTTTATACAAAACCAGTCTTGATTCAGAACTAGCCAATAGGAAAATAGTATATATATATATATTTATATATTTACATACACACAGACTCTCACTCAATGATTAAAAGTATTTATGTGCGAATTAAAATTCTCTATACATCAAAGTTGGAAAAATTATTTTCGAATTTTCATTGGAAATTAGCTAATTGGAAGATTTTTCTGTTTTTGATGTGTTTTATTTGGTGTTGTATAATTTAATGCGTTATGCAATTATTGTCGTTAGGATTTTTTTTTGAAAGTTGGAAATGATTCGGAAAATATTTTCGAGATATATATGAAAAAAATAGTGTTATGAGTATTGATTTATAGGGAAATGGAAAATAGTGGAACAATTTCTTTTAAACTCTGCGCTACCGAAGGTCACGTAGTGATGCAATATTTTCTAATTTTGCAATTCGGTGAACTTTATATAATTACTGGGAAGAATTGAAATTGAATAATTATTTAAATAATTTTCGAATAAATTATTATTGATATTTACGAACTTTTTATGCAATGCACTTAGGGAAATATAGTTTTTTTTAGACTAATTTTTCAATTTTGCAAACTTTGTTTAATTGCGAATAAAGATTTAGAAGGAAATTATTAATTAAACAATTTTTAAACAAATTTTTATTGATATTTGCTTAATTTTTGCACTCAGCTGTCTGAAATGTTTTTTCCAAATTCGAAAATTAGCAAATATTTGCGTAGAATCGCGAATAAAAATTTATAAGAAAATTATTATTTAAACGATTTTTACATAAATTATTATTGCTATTTATTAGCTTTTTAACAAAATGTACTTAGAGAAACAAATTTTTTTTATAATCTTTCAATATTGCAAAAATTTGTTATAATTACGTAAACTGATCTATAAGAAATATTATTTAAATAAGTTTTTAATTATTATTGATAATAATTATTAACTTTTTATTTAAGGCACTTCTAGAAAAATACTTTTTTTCCTACCTTTGCAATTTTTCAAATTTTTTTTTATTTGTAAACAAAATGTAATGAAAAAATTAATTTGTGAATAATTTTTAGACGAATTATTATTATAACTTTTAATCAGAGTCGTAGTACACAAAAATCTTTGGTAGCGCGAAGATTAAAGTTATTGGGTAAAATACAATTTTAGAAAAACAATGATTTTCTAAAAAGGGCTCGAACTAGGTCCGTAAATCCCGTAAAAGTCCGTAAATTTGCTTGAAGTACGTAAAAGTCAGTATTTTTTTTAAAAAAAGGTCCGTAAAGTCTGTAATTTGATTGAGAAAAGACGAAAAGTTCGTAAATTGTACGATATAATTTAGAGAATTTTAGAGAAATTACAAATCATTGCAAGAATTCAATTATTTTCAAAAGTAATAAAATTCTTTGCCAACATTCAATTATTTTCAAAAATTTTAATAAAATTCTTGGCAAAATTTCAATTATCTTTAGAAATAATAAAATTCTTCGAAATTCAATTATTTTCAAAAATTATCCTGAATTAAATTACTTTCAATATTTATTATTTTAATTCAATTTTCCAAAAGAATTGCATAATTTTTAAAGAAATTTAATAAAATTCTACGCAAACCTTTAGTTATTTTCATAAAATAACAAAAATTTCACAGGAATTCAATTATCTTTATAAATAGCAAAATTCTTCGCGAAAGTCAATTATTTTTATAAAATTCATTGCAAAATTCAATTATTTTCATAAATAACAATATTTATCACAAGAATTCAATTATTTTCAAAATTAATAAAATTCTTCGCAGACATTCAATTTTTGAAAAATCTAAAAAAGATTGTCGTCAAATTTCAATTATCTTTATAAATAGCAAAAATTCTTCGCCGAAATTCAATTATATTCAGGAATTTTTATAAAATTCTTCCTAAAAATAAAATTATTTACATAAATAGTTCTTCGAAAGAATTCTATTATATCTATAAATAACAAAATTATTCCCGAAAATTCAATTACTTTGAGGCATTTTAATAAAATTATTTGCAAAATTCAATTATTTTCATAAATAACAATATTCATGACAAGAATTCAATTATTTTTAAACATTTTAATAAAATTTTCGCAAACTTTTAATTATTTTCATAAATAATAAAATTCTTCTCAGGAATTCAATTATTTTCATATAAATACTAAAATTCTTTTTAGGAATTCAATTATTTTCACAAATAATAAAACCCTTCACAGAATTTTAATTATTTTCAATACAATTTGAATCGAATTTCTCGAAAAATGTAATTATTCTTAAAATTCTTCGAAAGAATTCAATTATTTAAAAATATGTTGATTTATAGTAGAAGTTGCTAATAAAAGTTGATTTAAAAATAACTGAATAATATTCTTACATTAGAAGAATTAATTTTTTTGAAAAATTTTACTTGAATTTAACTTGAAATTATTTTTTTGAAGTTTTTATTTTCTGGTATATATTTAATTGAAAAATATCCGAATAATTGAAATTTTGTAAAATTGAATTTTAAACGAATGAATTTGAAAATTCTCAAAGAACTTTTTTAAAAATTATTAAAAATAATGGATTTATAGAAAAATTTTAGTTAAAAACACTAAAAAATAATTGAATTTTGAAAAATTTACAAATTATTGCAGAAATTCAATTATTTTAATAAATAATAAAATTCTTTTGAGGAATTCAATTATTTTCATAAATAATAAAACTCATTGCAGAATTTCAATTATTTTAAATACAATTTTAATCGACTTTCTCGAAAAATGTAATTATTCTCTAAAATTTTACCAAAATTCCTCAAAAGAATTCAATTATTTAAAAATTCATTAACAAAATTCTTCATAAGAATTCAATTTTAAGAAATATGCAAATATTTGATAAATTTTTTATTTTTCTATTTAAATAATTAAATTCTCGTAGAATTTTCTAATAAAAATTGATTTGAAAATGAATTTCAATTACAATTTTAGATGATAATTGAATATTTAAAGAAATATAGCGTGAATTTTAAGAAATAATTGAATTTTGAAATTAATTTTTTTTAAAAAGTTGAATTGCAGATTTTTTTTTTGAAATTATTTGTTATTTTTATTGAAGAATTTTAATTTTAATTGAAGAATTTACTAACAATAGGAATTTCGTAGAATTGAATAATTGTAAATAATTGAATTTGAAAATTCTCAAAGAACTTTTCCAAAAATTAAAAAAAAGAATATTAAAATGTAAAAGTTAGAAATTATTGGAAAAATTCAATTATTTTTAAGAGTCATAATATTCTTCGCAAGAATTAAATATTGTTTAAAAGTAATAAAATTCTTCTTAAGGATTCAATTATTTTCACAAATAATAAAACTCATTGAATTTCAATTATTTTTAATACAATTTTAATCGAATTTCTCGAAAAATGTAATTATTCTTAAAAATTGAATTAAAATTCGTTGATAGAATTGAATTATTTGAAAGTTTGTTGATAACAATTCTTTATGGGAATTGAATTTTAAGAAACACTCAATTATTCATTAAATGACTTATTTTTGTATCTAAATAATTGAATTGTCGTAGAATTTTCTAATTATAATTGATTGAAATATGAATTTCAGTTAAAATTGTAGATAATTGAATTTTGATCTTTGAATATTTGAATTTTTCATACTTTTAACTGAAAGTTGTGTGGATTTAATTTTTTTGAAAAAGGTCAATTGAATATTTTTGAAGTTATTTGGATTTTTTATTTTCTAATATTTGATTGAAGAATTTCCGAATAAGCGATGAAATTTCGTAAAATTGAATTGTAAACAAAAGGATTTGAAAATGTTGAAAGAAATGTTTTAAAAATGATTAATAATAATGAATAATAATTAATTTAAACTTTATAAAGAAGAATTTTAGTTAAAAACTTTGGAAAACAATAATTGAGTTAAAATAATGAAAGTAATTTTGAATAAGTTACAGTAACAATATTGTTATAATATAAAATAATGATTTTATCAGTCGGTCATTTTTAATTATTATAAAACATGAAGATATCGATCACTCCGAGTCGAAGACTATGTTGCTTGTTTGATGTATTCACGTTTTATAGTTATGAGAATATTTATTTTTTAGTTTTAAGTAAAATGTTTTCTTATTTGATTCAGACTGGTTATATTTTTGTCAGTAATATTTGGTTTGTAAATGGTCCGTAATTTTTAATTTTTGGTCCGTAAAGTCCGTATTTACTATTTTTAAATACTTTCACTGTTTCGAGCCCTGAAATGAATTCATTTAAAAGATATTCTAATATTTTAAATGATTTGAAATGATAATAGCTTTTCTCATAAATTCCGAATGGAGGGTGAAATGAATTAGCTAATTTCCCTGCCTTATACAGGCGTTCTCGACAAAGGAGTCACAACACTTGACTCCTGATCAGAATTCGGAGGCGTAAGTGCAGTGGCAGGCGATTTAACAACCGTTAAAATTTTCGAACTCTTCGAATCGTTAATACCATTTGGCGCGACGATAATTTCACTTTGATTTATTTTCACACCATTAGGATTATTAATCGTACACTTTTTATAATGCGTTCGCATATTACTGCTCTGGGAGAATCTCAAACCGCAATTGGGACACGAATACGGCTTCGTACCAGTGTGATAATTGAGATGTGTTTTCAGATGATGTTTCTTGGTAAATGCCTTGGTGCACAGTGTACATTGATAGGGTTTAAGACCCGAGTGTAGTCGCGTGTGTAGTGTCATGTTTGACCTGTCGGCGAACGCCTTGTGACACACTTGACACTCGTAGGGTCGTTCGCCCGAATGTGTTCTTAAATGTTGCTTGAGTAGCATTTTCCTTGAGAAAGCCTTACCGCACTGTTCGCATTGATGCGGCTTGACACCGGTGTGAATCCTGACGTGCATATTGTAGGCGACACGTTGATTGAAGCTTTTGCCACACTCGCCGCACGCATATTCCTTTCGATTGCGATGGATCTTCATGTGGGAGCTGAGGTAGCCACGATCGTTGAAATATTTCCCGCATTCCGGACAAGTGGCTGCAAACTCCCTGGTGCCTTCGTGTACGCTTCGATGATACTTATAATTCCGTAACTGGGAAAACTGCTTGCCACAGTCGGCACAACGAAACGGCTTCTCACCTGAGTGCGTCCTGCTGTGGACCTGTGGAAAAGGTGAGAGTTCCTCGCTTTAATTTCAGGGAATAACTCACAGAGAATTATATAACTTATAATAAGGAAGTTGTGATGATAAGTGCTCGAAAAACTAGTTTCATGGCTATTTTTATGCAGTTCATACTCGGATGTGTATTGCGATTTTTTTTATTTCCTTTCCTTTCTTTTCTTTTCTATTTTTTTCATATGTATGTATGAGTATGGGCGTTAGTTCCTTGTGGATAATTATTATAATTTCGTCTGGATAAATGAGAGATTAGAGAAGTATTTTACTGTCTTATTTAGAATGTTAAGAAGTACTTTGAGTTATACTTTTAACTTATTGGTATTACATGGGGATTACAAGTTATTATCTACTCTTTTTACTCTCTAAACTTGAATTAGTTACTTTTTACTAACGAAATAGGGTCGATTCGATCGACTGTTAACTAGAAAGTATCAAATTGCTACGAACTGATATCAAAACTGTGAACCAAAAACTAATTTGATTTAAATTTTTGATATCAATTTGATACAATTTGGTATCAATTTGATACCTTCAATAGAGTTGCCACAAGTCAGGGAAGTTAAGGAAAGTAGAATTAGTCAGGGAAATTAGGGAAAAGTTAGGGATTTTTATTAAAAGTACTGGAAATAATATTAAATTAATATTTCTGACAATAATTTCTTTCTAAATAACTCAATTCTTGAACCTATCATAAAATTATAAAACTCATAAATTATTTAATGAATAATTTTTATAAATAACTTAAATTCTTTTCAAATTAGTTAATTTAATTTTATAATATATATTTAATTAATAAGGGGTCATTCACAAAATACGTCACGCTTTTTCGAGCTGATTTTTACCCCCTCCCCCCCTTCGTCACATTTTTTACGTACAAAAAATTTTTTTTTCAACACTTCGTCACACACAGCTTGACACCCCCCACCCCACCCCCAGGAGTGTGACGTAGTTTATGAACGATCCCTAATTGAAAATAATGGATTTATAGCAGAATTTTAGTTAAAAACACTAAAAAAAATTGAATTTTGAAGAAGTTAAAAATGATTGCAGAAATTCAATTATTTTCAAAAGTAATAACTTTCTACGCAGAAATTCAAATATGTTCAAAATTTTTTTATAAATATTCTCATCTAAATTTCAATTATTTTCAAAAGTAGTGAAATTCTTCTTCGAAATTCAAATATTTTCAAAAATTGTAATAACATTCTTGGCAAAATTTCAATTATTTTCAAAAATTTTCCTCAATTCAATGATTTTCAATATCTACTAGTTTAATAAAATTTTCCAGAAGAATTAAATTATTTACAAATTTTTTATAAATTGCTTCGCATTAATTCAATTATTTTCAAAAATAACAACATTTTTTACGGGAATTAAATTATTTTTATAAATAATAAAATTCTTATTAGCAATTCAATTGTTTAAAAAAATGTTCTAAATTCTCGTCATAATTTCTTAAATAAATGAATAAATAACATTTAAATTATTTTTATAAATAATATAATTCTCCGAATAATACAATTATTTAAAAAAATTTTAATAAAATTCTGTCAAAATTTCAATTATTTACGATTTTTTTTATAAATTTCTTCGCGGAAATTCAATTGTGTTCAAAAATTTTTTAAAGTATTCTCGTCCAAATTTCAATTGTTTTCAAAATTAATAAAATTCTTCTCCAAAAATTCAATTATTTTCAAAAATTTTCCAAAAAAATTCAATTTTTTATAAATTTCTTTGCACTGATTTAATTATTTTCACAAATATGTAATTTTATTTTTACGGGAATTTTATTTTTTACGGGAACTCAATTATTTTCATAAATAATAAGAATCTTTTTAGGAATTTAAAGATTAACAAATTTTTTTTTTATATTCTCGTCAAAATTTAAATTATTTTTAAAAATAATAAAATTCTTCTCTGAAATTCAATTATTTTCAAAAAATTTCCTCAATATAATATTTTCAGTAGGTATCTACTATAATTGAAAAAAATTTTCCAAAGGAATTAAATTATTTACAAATTTTTTATAAATTTCTTCTCACTAATTCAATTATTTTCATAAATAATAAAATTCTTAGCAGAAATTCAATTATTTAAAAATTTTTGTTAAATTCTTTTCAAAATTTTAATTATCTTTATAAATAATAAAATTCTTCTCTGAAATTCAATTATTTTCAAAAACTTTAATAAAATTTTCCAAAAAAATACAATTATTTACAAATTTTTCATTCCTCGCACTAATTCAATTATTTTCATAAATAATAAAACTCATCGCAGAATTTCCATTATACAAAAATTTGTTGATAAAATTCTTTATGAGAATTAAATTTTAAGAAACATTCAATTATTCTATAAATTATTTATTTTTGTATTTAAATACCTAAATGAATTCTCTTAAAATTTTGTAATTAAAATTTATTTAAAAATAAATTTTAGTTAAAAGTTTAGATAATAATTGAATGTTAAAAAAAGTAAAGTTTGAATTTTTATAGGTTTTAAATTCAAAAATAGTAAAATTAACTACAGAAAATTATATAGTTAACGTTAATAATTGAAATAGTTGCCTTAAAAATTAATTAGTAGTTTTTTTTACTGTTAATTAGTAAATTTTGACTAAGAATTAGTAAAAACGATTACTAATTCATTCAATGAATTTATTAAATTAATTAGTCATTTTAGTCATTTTTCAGTTAAATTTTAATAACGAAAATTATAACTACTAAAAAATACTGCAGAGATCAAATAACTCAGTTGTCAAATTTGACTAAAAGTTAATCAGTCCTGATTCTAATTCATTTAATAGTTAAATCGGAGACATTCAATTAGACAAAAGAGAGTAATTCCGATTTAGAGTGTTTGTTTAAACAATTAGTAAAAAAAATAAATAATTATTAGTAGAAAATAACTAAATTATAGTAGATAATAACTAATTATTAATAGAAAATAACTGATTGAATTTGACTATTCAGTAGTGTGTTAGGCCTTTGGACTGTCTGACTCAACAGCAATATCTACTTCGAGATCTATAGTCTCCACCGAGAAAATCAAAGTAGATACTGCCGATTAGGTCAGACAATCCGAACGCCTAATGGACTATTACATGGGCATCTTCAATTATTATTAGTGAAGAAATAACTTTATCATTAGCAAATAAATAACATAAAAATAGTCAAATTTTACTAATTGAATTTGTTACCAAAAATTTTAGCGATTACTTACTATTTGATTTGTAAAAATATTAATTATTTGATTGGTAAAAATATTACTATTTGAACCATTGACTAACTTTTTACTATGCGGATTCGGTTCCCCATAAAATACAGTAAGCATTTTACTAATTATTTACAGTAGAAAACTACTGATTCAGATTTAAATAGTAAAATTATCGAAATTTTTTTTATCTAAAGATTAATGGATTCAACTGTCAAATTATCCACAGTGTTGCTAAACTTGATATTATATTATTATTTGTAACTATTTCCTCATTTTTATTTCTTCATCTTAAATATGTAGTTGAAAAATTTTTCCCTTTGTGTTGCAAAATTTTCATATTTCATACAAAATTGAATTATTCTTTTTTCTTTACATCACTTTCTATAATTTGTACGGAACTTTCTTATCCGGACTCTCCCAGTGGAACGAAAATCTTTCTTTACGATATGGTGAGATATTAATTTTGAATTTAAATTTGGAATTTAATGTATAAGGTTCAAAGGAAAATAGAAAATTAAAAATAACAAGAGAAAACTCTCTAAAAATATGAATAAGTAAAAAATAACTATTTTTTAGTAAAATCGTGTCTGACTTTTTGCTGTAGTAAACATTTTTATTAATTCAAAAGACAGAATTTATTTTTATTCAATAACGAATTGAATTGAATTGAATTTTTTGAAAATCTTTTTAAAATAATCGAATTTTCAATAGCAGGGTTGCCACAGGTCAGGGAAATCAGAGAATTCAGGGAAAAGTCAGGGAAAGTAAAATTGGTCAGGGAAATCAGGGAAAAGTCAGGGATTTTTATTTAAGGAACTGGAAAAAATTGAATTTTGGAGATGTTACAAATAATTGCAGAAATTCAATTATTTTCAAAAGTAATAAAATTCTTCGCAGAAATTCAATTATTTTCAAAAATTTTAAAAAGTTCTCGTCAAAATTCAATTATCTTTAGAAATAATAAAATTCTTCTTCAAAATTAAATTATTTTCAAAAATTTTACTTAATTCAATGATATTCAATATCCACAATTTGAATAAAGTTTTACAAAAGAATTCACATATTTAAAAAAAAATTAATAAAATTCTACGCAAACATTCAATTATTTTCATAAAACTCATCGCAAAAATTCAATTATTTTCAAAAGTAATAAAATTCTTCTACGAAATTCAATTATTTTCAAAAATTTTATTAACATTTCGTCAAATTTTTAGTTATTTTCAAAAGTAATAACTTTCTTCTTCAAATTTCAATTATTTTCAACAAAATTTTAATAAAATTCTTTGCAAAATTTAAATTATTTTCAAAAATTTTTTCTCAATTCAATGATTTTCAATATTTACAGTTTTAATAAAATTTTTCAAAAGAATTCAATTATTTAAAAAAAAATTTTTGATAAAATTCCAAATAAACTTTGCAATAATTCAATTATTTTCATAAATAATATTTTTTTACAAAAATTCAATTAGTTTCGTAAATAATAACATTTTTTTTACAAAAATTCAATTATTTTCATAAATAATAAAATTCATCATCGAATTTCAATTATTTTTAATACAATTTTAATTAAATTTTTCGAAAAATTTAATTATTCTTGAAAATTTTATTAAAATTTCTCGAGAAAATTCAAATTTGTTGATAAAATTCTTTATGATAATTTAGTTTCGAAAAACATTGATTTATTTAATAAATTATTTATTTTTGTATTTAAATAATTGAATTCTTGTAGAATTTTCCAATAAAAATTGATTTTAAAATGAATATTAGTT